TCCCCACCCCACTGAACCCCACCCCGCCGTGGGTACCGCGTGGAATCTCTCGTAGGAAGGGTCCCCGGGCTGGGGGGGGTCCATGACCACGTCCAGGACCACCTGCCCAGGCACGGGGGGGCAGAGCCGCACGGACACCAGTTTGGCCAGCTGCTCCTTCACCAACGGGTCCAGGTTCACCACCTCCATGTACCCCCCCCGCAGCCCACACCTGGGATTGGGATGGGATTGGGATTGGGATTGGGATGGGAACAGGTTCACCACCTCATGTACCCCCCCCCGCAGCCCACACCTGGGATTGGGATTGGATTGGGATTGGGATTGGATTGGGATGGGGATGGGAACAGGTTCACCACCTCCATGTACCCCCCCGCAGCCCACACCTGGGATTGGGATTGGGATTGGGATGGGAACAGGATCGGGATGGGAACAGGGATGAGGGCCCTGCTGGAACCCCGGGGTGGGCAGTCATGAGTGGGAACCCACGGACAGGGACTCATGGAGGGGATCCATGGATGAAGGCCCAGGGATGGGAATCCATGGATGAGGGTCCAGGGATGGGAATCCATGGATGAAGGTTCAGGGATGGGGATCCATGGATGAAGGCCCAGGGATGGGAATCCATGGATGAGGGTCCAGGGATGGGAATCCATGGATGAAGGTTCAGGGATGGGAATCCATGGATGAAGGTCCAGGGATGGGGATCTGGGATGGGAATCCACGAGTGGTAACTTCCGTGTGGGATTCATGGATGGGATGTGGCATCCATGGGATGGTGGCAGCTCCATCCCCAGTCCTGTCCCATGGTGCCCATGGGGTGGTGGCAGCTCCAATCCCACTCCCATCCCAGGGGATCCAAGGGGTGGGGGCAGCTCCAATCCCATCCCAGGGGATCCAGGGGGTGGGGGCAGCTCCAATCCCATCCCAGGGGATCCAGGGGGTGGGAGCAGCTCCAATCCCATCCCATGGTGTCCCATCCCACCCCTCCCGTGTCCAGGCCCCCCCTGGACTCACTCTCCCATGTATCCCTTGGAGATGGAGTGGAAGGAGGCCAATTCCACCGACTCTGAGTAGGGAGGTCCCAGCTGCATCAGCACCTTCTTGAAGGAGTGGAAGGCGGAGCCCTCGGCGTAGACGTTGTCCTGGTACACCTGGGGACACCCCGGGGTGTCACCTGGAATTCTGGGCCCCCCGGGGGGGCAGGGGGGACACCCCCAGGATCCCATTCCCAACCTCGTCAGCCAGCAGGAAAAGCTTCTCCTCGTAGGCGAATTTGATGACGTCCTCGATGCACTCCCGGCTCTGCACCTGGCCTGGGAACGCAGCGGGAATGTGGGAATGAAGGGATGGGGGGGGCCAGGCCAGGCAGGGAACTGGGATCCCAGTCCAGCCCAGGGCTCCCGATCCCAATCTGGGGGTCCCAATCCCAGTCTATCAGTCCCAGTCCAGCCCAGGGCTCCCAATCAGCACAGCACAAATCCCGCTCCATACCCTATCCCAGTACCCCATATCCTGTTCCCAGTACCCCATTTCCATAATCCCATTACCTGTGGGGTTCCCAGGGTTGATGGTGCACAGTGCCCAGCCCATATCCCATATCCCATATCCCATATCCCATATCCCATATCCCATATCCCATTACCTGTAGGGTTCCCTGGGTTGATGATGCACAGTGCCCAGCCCATATCCCATATCCCATATCCCATATCCCATATCCCATATCCCATATCCCATATCCCATATCCTGTATCCCATATCCCATATCCCATATCCCATATCCCATATTCCCCTATCCCATTACCTGTAGGATTCCCGGGGTTGATGATGCACAATGCCCGGGGGCAGCAGCACCTCCAGCTCATATCCCATTCCCATTATCCCATTCCCATTATCCCATATCCCATTACCTGTGGGGTTCCCGGGGTTGATGATGCACAGTGCCCAGCCCATATCCCATATCCCATATCCCATATCCCATATCCCATATCCCATTACCTGTGGGGTTCCCGGGGTTGATGATGCACAGTGCCCGGGGGCAGCAGCGCCTCCTGCCCTCAGCCAGCGCCCTCCTGAGCTCGGCCACGTCGAGGGCCCATCCTCGCTCCTCATTAAGGTAATAATTGACCTGCACGGCCTCCAGCTCGGCCAGCGCCGCCGAGTACAGCGGGTACTGCGGGATCGGGATCATCACCCCCGTCCGAGACTGCCCCGAGCCCGCCACCAGCAGCTTCAGCATGTTCTGTGGGCACAGAGACCCCGGTCACACCCCCTGTCCACCCATGACTGCCCCGAGCCCCCACCAGCAGCTTCAGCATGTTCTGGGGGCACAGAGACCCCGGTCACACCCCCCTGTCCACCCATGACTGCCCCGAGCCCCCACCAGC